GTGGCCCAATGTGCAGGTTGCCCCCAGAGCTGTGGTTGCAGTCACTGGTAAAAAGTCTTACTTAGCCGACCTCAATCTCCAGAGTGGGAGCCAGAATAATTCCCTTTCTAACTGTGGTCCTGCCTTTTACCAGCTAAGCTGGACCAGGTGGCAGAGCCTGTGCCTAGTCCCTGTGGTGCCCTAGGAGTAGATTAGTGTGAAAATGGGAGAGTAAGGAGCAGGCCTTGGGGGCAGACTGAAGTTACCTCCCACACAAGGGCCAAAACCTGCAGCAGCCGGTTCTGTTAGTGTCTTGAGGATTGGAGCCTTTTACTTTAAAGGCGAGGAAGGAAACAGAAGCAAGCAGTGATGAAATCTGAACCGAGAGCCGGCGCCGTGGCTCAATAGGCTAATCCTCCACCTTGCGGGTTCTAGTCCCGGTCGGGGCGCCGGATTCTGTCCCGGTTGCCCCTCTTCCAGGCCAGCGCTCTGCTATGGCCAGGGAGTGCAGTGGAGGATGGCCCAGGTGCTTGGGCCCTGCACCCCATGGGAGACCAGGGAAAAGCACCTGGATCCTGGCTCCTGCCATCGGATCAGCGCGCTGCGCCGGCTGCAGCGGCGGCCATTGGAGGGTGAACCAACGGCAAGGGAAGACCTGTCTCTCTCTCTCACTGTCCACTCTGCCTATCAAAAAAGAAAAAAAAAAAAAAAGAAAAAAAAAAAAGAAATCTGAACCGAGAGAGGACACCGGTACCTGGAAAGGGGGAGGAGCCTGATGGAGGAGAGTGGTGTTGGGCCTGTGAAAGCAGCTAAGGAAACTCAGGCATTTGTCATTATTAATCACAGTAATTTAAGACAGATTACACTGATGGTTTTTTTAAATGGTGGGATAGTGTTGGAGTGATCTCTAACTCATTTTTTGTGGTCATGGTAAAATTACATAGACTCTCAATTTATACTTTTTAAAGATTTTATTTGAGAGGTAGAGTTACAGAGAGGGAGAGACAGAGAAAGATCTTCCATCCGCTGGTTCACTCCCCAGATGGCTGCAGCTGATCTGAAGCCAGGAGCCAGGAGCTTCTTCCGGGTCTCCCATGTGGGTACAGGGGCCCAAGCACTTGGGCAGCCTTCTGCTTTTCCAGGCCATAGCAGAGAGCTTGATAGGAAGAGGAGCAGCCCGGCCTTGAACTGGTGCCCATATGGGATGCCGGCACCACAGGTGGAGGCTTAACTTCCTACGCCTCAGCGCCAGCCCCTCACTTCACATTCTCTGTTGCTGGTGTACTTGCTTTTCCTGATCACTTTACTTGGAACTCCTGAAAAAGATAACCTTGGCAGCCACCTTCTGGTACTCAGCTGCTTCAGTACACTTGGAATATTTAGCTTGACTGGCACCTGCAGGAAGTATTGGCTGTAGTCATTTTTCTTCTAGTCCATAAACTAGAACCATAGCAGCAGGAGGAATTGTGCCGTACCTGCCAGGGGAGGCCTGAAGCAGACCTGGTCTGTTTTCCCATCTGGAGATCAGGTTCCTTCAGTGACCAGCAGCCTGATGTCTGGTGGTTTTTCGCTCTCAGTGGCCCCTATGTAGGCAAACAGCAGCCTTATTCACACACTCACGTCTTCAGAAGTCTTGTTTCCAGAAGGATTAATTAAATAAGATGTAATTGATAGAGAAATTGTTCTCAAGCTTTTCATTAATTTAAACCACCAGCGTTAATATTTTTGTTCAACTTAGTCCCCATACAGCTCCCCCCACATCTAAGGAAGACCAGTGCCACTAAGAACCAGAGCAGTGGCTTACCACTTAAAACACATGGGTAGAGCTGTTTTTATTTTTTTGTTGTTGTGGTTTTAAAGATTTTATTCATTTATTTGAGAGGTAGAGTTACAGACAGTGAGAGGGAGAGACAGAAAGACCTTCCATCTGCTGGTTCACTCTCCAAATGGCCTCAACGGCTGGAGCTGAAACCAGGAGCCAGGAGCTTCTTCCAGGTCTCGCACATGGGTGCAGGGGCCCAAGCACATGGGCCACATTCCACTGCTTTCCCAGCCATAGCAGAGAGCTGAAGAGCGTGGCCTGTAGGAGCTGCCACACTGGTGACGGGTCGTGTTGTTCAGGAAGTCTGTGAGCTCTGTGCTGCAGCTTCCTCACCTGCAGGATGAGGATGTCAGTGTGGTGGTGGGAGGATCGAACGAGGCGGTGCGTGGAGGTCCAGAGCCGCATCAGGAAAGCACTGCAGGGAGCATTCAAGTCACCGGGGATCCGCTGGAACCGAGAAGCAGCAGTGTCCTGCACAGGCCTTTGAAGAGACGGAGAAGTGGTTCCCTTGGTGTCTGCCATTATTTGTGAATATTTCTCAAGATGGCTTGGAGAGGCTGGTGTTGTGGCGCAGCAGGTTAATACACCTCCTGCAATGCTGGCATCATTTATCAGAGCACAGGTTCAAGTCCTGGCTGTTGAACTTGCGATCCAGCTTCCCGCTACTGGGCCTGGGAAAGCAGAGGAAGATGACCCGAGTACTTGGGCCCCTGCCACCCATCTGAGAAACTCAGATGAAGCTCCTGGCTCCTTGCTTTGGTATGGCCCAGACCCAGCCGTTGGGACCATTTGGGGAGTGAACCAGCAGGTGGAAGATCTCTTTCTCTGTTATCTGGCTCTCTCTCACTGTGCTTTTCAAATAGAAATTTTTTTTAAAGATGACTTTGAGTCATGTGACCATGTAATCAAACTTAATAGCTAGGGAAGTACACTTCAAGATATTTCATTGAGAAGTGTGTCAGGCTGTAACACTTGGGATCATTGACCATCTTCTGTTGTGATCTATGTCGGCTTTTTGAAAGTCTTTCCTTATGGTCCTCGTGCAAACCAAAATTGGGTGTTTTACCCTGGAACAGACCTGGAGGATTTTATAGGCAAAGTCTTTTGGTATTCTTTAGCTCTCTGCCTTTTAGACCAGTTATTCTCCCATTGTCTCTTCCTACAATTCTTTTATCTCACTGTGCTCCATGCCCCATCTCTGAATATATAAGTTCTAGCCTGGTTCTCTACACCATTTAATCATTCACCTAGAATGCCTACCACGTGCTCCTTACTGTCTTATGATGTGAGGATAACAGCAAGGAACAGACAGTCTTTTCTCTTTAAGGAGATTACATACTGGAGGAGGACAGACTAAACAAGTCGAGTTTTCTGTCTATTGTGAGTAAGTCAGCCCTGAGGTGTGGGTAGGGAATAAAGCAGGAGGAGGGGCTGGCGCCGCGGCTCACTAGGCTAATCCTCCGCCTTGCGGCACCGGCACACCGGGTTCTAGTCCCGGTCGGGGCGCCGGATTCTGTCCCGGTTGCCCCTCTTCCAGGCCAGCTTTCTGCTGTGGCCAGGGAGTGCAGTGGAGGATGGTCCGAGTGCTTGGGCCCTGCACCCCATGGGAAACCAGAAGTACCTGGCTCCTGCCATCGGATCAGCACGGTGCGCCGGCCGCGGCAGCCATTGGAGGGTGAACCAAGGGCAAAGGAAGACCTTTCTCTCTGTCTCTCTCTCTCACTGTCCACTCTGCCTGTCAAAAAAAAAAAAAAAAAAAAAAAAGGCAGGATGAGGGTGTGGGGCAACTGTTAATTTGTTGGATGGCCAGGAAAGACCGTATCAGCCAGGTGGTGCTTGCCCAGAGACTGGAAGGAAGCGAGTGGGCAAGTCCTGCAGCTCTCAGGGAAATATGGTAGGCGAGAGCAGAGTTGCTGGAGAGTTTCTGGGTAGAAGTGTGTTCCAGGAGCAAAGTGGTCATCAGGCTGGAGCAGAGTGTAGGCGGGCAGTCAGAGCAGGGGTAAAGCTGAGTTTTTTTAAAGGATCACTGAACTTTCTGCAGGCAGTGCTGTTTTCAGCTCCCCTTGAGAGAAACTAAGAAAATGAGCTGCATAAACTGTTGTGGGAAAACTGTTAGTGCCTTACCCTAGCTTATGTGTGCTTCGTAACCTCTTCTTTAAACAATTGATTTTAAGTCATTTCAAGTCTGGCCTTGTCCTGTTCATCTCTGACTCCGGGAAGAAGCCAGGCGCAGGCAAAGGGAAAGGCAGCATCTTTGCGTCATGAAATGGGCTAGGAACCAGAGGAAGTGGTAGCCCGGTCAGGTGGCTTGGGAGGAATCTGGGTCCTCAGCCTGCTCAGTTCTTACTTTGTTTTCTGTCCTTGCTGCCCTCCAAGTGCACGTTTCAGTTCCTTCCCTCACAGTAATGGCCAGCAATCACTTAGTGAATACCCGGTCGGCAAGCAGTGAGCCAGGTGGGCCTTAAAGCTGCCAGGACTTCTTGTGAACCCCTGAACAGGATCTGAAAGAATAGTGTCTGCCACTCTGGCTTAAGTCTAACCCTTTGTATCTGGGATTTGAGGTGCGCATTTGAGAGGGGTGCATTGTCACAGTGTGTTATCAAGAAGAAGTTGAGCCCAAAGTTTATGTGGATGACTGCTGCGGAGGGAACCCAAGTGAGAAGAGGGAAGTGTCCTGTGTGCACTGGTCAGCATGGGTCATCGGTGATCAGAGTAAAGCTGCCAGCTCCATCTTCTCAGTGTAGGGAGTGAGGCAAGCAGCCAGTGCAGTGATCAATCTCATGCATGAAAGCAAAAAAAGAAAAGAAAATTGGGTTTTTCTCACCCCTCCCCCACCATAGTTGGAAGATTCCAAGTATTGCTGTTTTTCATTTCTAGTAATAACAAAACCCCTTTTTAAAAACCCATTTGAATTTGGGGGCTCATTTGTCTGATAATGAAGTTATTAAAAAAAACCCCTTAAATTTGCATACATCCAGTGTTCTTTTCACTCTGCCTAGATTCCTGCCTCACATTGAGGCCATTTCTCTGCTGTTTGCCTGTCTAAAAATGGACAGGATAAGGAATAAAAGGAATTGAAATTCAGACTGGACAGCTTCACCTGGACGTCTGAATTATCCTATACCCTCCATCGTCTTGACTTGATTTTACTTGTATGTAGAGACCCATGTCTGATGTCTTTATTTTTTTCCATTTCCAGGAGGGCTGCTGGCCCGCTGCTGTGCTGCTGAACAGTATGCAGTCCTTCCGGGAGCAAAGCAGTTACCACGGAAACCAGCAGAGCTACCCGCAGGAGGTACACGGCTCATCCCGGATAGAAGAGTTCAGCCCTCGCCAGGCCCAGATGTTCCAGAATTTTGGAGGTGCAGGTGGTGGCGGCAGCGGCAGCGGCAGTGGTGGTGGCCGTCGAGGGACAGCAGCAGCTGCTGCAGCAATGGCTAGTGACACCTCTGGCCACCAAGGCTACCAGGGGTTTAGGAAAGAGGCTGGAGATTTTTACTACATGGCAGGCAACAAAGACCCCGTGGCAACAGGAACCCCACAGCCTCCTCAACGAAGGCCTTCTGGGCCTGTGCAGAGCTACGGCCCCCCCCAGGGGAGCAGCTTTGGCAATCAGTACGGGAGTGAGGGCCACGTGGGCCAGTTTCCAGCCCAGCACTCTGCCCTCGGTAGTGTGTCCCACTATCAGCAGGATTACACGGGGCCCTTTTCCCCAGGGAGTGCTCAGTATCAGCAGCAGGCCTCTAGCCAGCAGCAGCAGCAGCAGCAGCAGCAGCAGCAGCAAGTACAGCAGTTGAGGCAGCAGCTTTACCAGTCCCATCAGCCTCTGCCACAGGCCACTGCTCAGCCGGCGTCCAGCTCGTCCCATCTCCAGCCCATGCAGCGGCCTTCCACTCTGCCATCCTCTGCGGCTGGTTACCAGTTAAGAGTGGGTCAGTTTGGCCAACACTACCAGTCCTCTGTTTCTTCCTCCTCCTCCTCCTCCTTCCCTTCCCCACAGCGCTTCAGTCAGTCTGGACAGAGCTATGATGGCAGTTACAGCGTGAATGCTGGGTCCCAGTATGAAGGCCATAATGTGGGGTCTAATGCACAGGCTTATGGAACACAATCAAATTACAGCTATCAGCCTCAATCCATGAAAAATTTCGAACAGGCAAAGATTCCACAAGGGACCCAGCAGGGGCAGCAGCAGCAGCAGCAGCAGCAGCAGCAGCACCCCGCTCAGCACGTGATGCAGTACACCAACGCTGCCACCAAGCTGCCCCTACAGAGCCAGGTGGGGCAGTATAACCAGCCCGAGGTTCCTGTGAGGTCCCCCATGCAGTTCCACCAGAACTTCAGCCCCATTTCTAACCCTTCTCCGGCTGCCTCGGTGGTCCAGTCTCCAAGCTGCAGCTCTACTCCATCTCCTCTCATGCAGAGTGGAGAGAATCTCCAGTGCGGGCAAGGCAGTGTGCCCATGGGTTCCAGAAACAGAATTTTACAGTTAATGCCTCAGCTCAGTCCAACCCCATCCATGATGCCCAGTCCTAATTCTCATGCTGCAGGCCTCAAAGGGTTTGGACTGGAAGGGGCGCCAGAGAAACGACTGACAGATCCTGGGTTGAGTAGTCTGAGTGCCCTGAGTACTCAAGTGGCCAATCTTCCTAACACTGTCCAGCACATGTTACTCTCAGATGCCCTGACACCTCAGAAGAAGACTTCCAAGAGGCCCTCCTCATCTTCTAAGAAAGCGGACAGTTGCACAAACTCTGAGGGCTCCTCACAGCCTGAAGAACAGCTGAAGTCCCCTCTGGCAGAGTCCTTGGACGGCGGCTGCTCCAGCAGCTCAGAGGATCAAGGGGAGAGAGTGAGGCAGCTGAGTGGCCAGAGCACCAGTTCTGACACCACCTACAAGGGGGGGGCCTCGGAGAAAGCTGGCTCCTCACCCGCACAAGGTGCTCAGAACGAAGCCCCCAGACTCAGTGCCAGTCCTGTAGCCAGAGAAGAAGCCACCTCGCCAAGTGTCAAGGACACAGCCTTGTCCTCTGAGGGGAACCCAAAAGTCAATGAAAAGACGGTTGGGGTAATTGTCTCCCGGGAAACCATGGCAAGTAGGGTAGAAAAGCCTGGTGGACAAGATAAAGGCTCCCAGGAGGATGATCCTGCAGCCACTCAGAGGCCCCCCAGCAACGGTGCGGCCAAGGAAAGCAGTCTTGCCCCACTTCCTCAGCCGGAGCCTCCAGGAGGAGGGAGCAAAGGAAGCAAAAACGGAGATAGCAACTCCAGCCACAATGGAGAGGGCAATGGCCAGGCTGGCCACACTGCAGCGGGGCCTGCGTTCACAGGCAGGACCGAGCCTAGCAAATCCCCCGGAAGCCTGCGCTACAGTTACAAAGACAGTTTTGGGTCTGCTATGTCGCGAAATGTCAGCAGCTTCCCTCAGTATCCTACAGGGCAAGAAAAGGGAGATTTCACTGGCCATGGGGAACGAAAGGGTAGAAACGAGAAGTTCCCCAGCCTCCTGCAGGAAGTGCTCCAAGGTTACCACCACCACCCGGACAGGAGATACTCCAGGAGTGCTCAAGAGCACCAGGGGATGGCTGCCGGGCTAGAAGGAACCTCAAGGCCCAATGTCTTAGTCAGTCAAACCAATGAATTAGCCAGCAGGGGCCTACTGAACAAAAGCATTGGATCCCTGTTAGAAAACCCTCACTGGGGCCCCTGGGAGAGGAAAGCTGGCAGCACAGCTCCTGAACTGAAGCAGATCAATTTGGCTGACTATCCAATTCCCAGAAAGTTTGAACTAGAGCCTCCATCATCAGCCCATGAGCCCGGAGGCTCCCTCTCTGAAAGAAGATCCGTGATCTGTGACATTTCTCCACTGAGACAGATTGTCAGGGACCCAGGGGCCCACTCCCTGGCGCACATGGGTGCTGACACCAGAATTGGGAGGAATGAACGTCTGAACCCAAACTTAAGTCAGTCCGTCATTCTTCCAGGTGGGTTGGTATCCATGGAAGCAAAGCTGAAATCCCAGAGCGGGCAGATCAAAGAGGAAGACTTTGAACAATCCAAATCCCAAGCTAGTTTCAACAACAAGAAGTCTGGAGACCACTGCCATCCTAGCAGCATCAAGCACGAGTCTTACCGTGGTAATGCCAGTCCAGGGGCAGCAGCCCACGATTCCCTCTCAGACTACGGTCCCCAGGACAGCAGACCCACGCCAGTGCGTCGGGTCCCCAGCAGGGTTGGTGGCCGGGAAAGTATGAGGGGTCGGTCTCCTTCTCAGTATCATGACTTTGCAGAAAAGTTGAAGATGTCTCCTGGGCGGAGCAGAGGCCCAGGGGGAGACCCTCATCACATGAACCCACACATGGCTTTCTCAGAGAGGGCCAACAGGAGTTCTCTACATGCTCCCTTTTCTCCCAATTCAGAAAGCCTGGCCTCTGCTTATCATGCAAACACTCGGGCTCACGCCTATGGGGACCCCACAGGTCTGAATTCTCAGCTCCATTACAAGAGGCAGATGTACCAACAGCAACAAGAGGAGTACAAGGACTGGAGCAGCAGCTCTGCTCAGGGCGTGATCGCTGCAGCACAGCACCGGCAGGAGGGGCCCCGGAAGAGCCCACGGCAGCAGCAGTTTCTTGACAGAGTACGGAGCCCTCTGAAAAATGACAAGGATGGTATGATGTATGGCCCGCCGGTAGGGACTTACCATGACTCCAGCACTCAGGAGGCCGGGCGCTGTCTCATGCCTGGTGATGGTCTGCCCAACAAAGGCATGGAACTGAAGCATGGCTCCCAGAAGTTGCAGCAAGAATCTTGTTGGGATCTTTCTCGGCAAACCTCTCCAGCCAAAAGCAGCGGTCCTCCAGGGATGTCCAATCAGAAAAGGTATGGGCCGCCCCATGAGACTGACGGACATGGACTAGCTGAGTCTGCACAGTCATCCAAACCTGGTAATGTCATGCTGAGGCTTCCAGGTCAAGAGGACCACTCTTCTCAAAACCCCTTAATTATGAGGAGGCGTGTCCGTTCCTTCATCTCTCCCATTCCCAGTAAGAGGCAGTCACAGGAGGTAAAGAACAGCAACACTGATGATAAAGGACGCCTCCTTCACCCACCGAAAGAAGGCGCTGATAAAGCATTCAATTCCTATGCCCATCTTTCTCACAGTCAGGACATCAAGTCTATCCCTAAGAGAGAGTCTGCCAAGGACCTTCCAAGTCCAGATAACAGAAATTGCCCTGCTGTTACCCTCACCAGCCCTGCTAAGACCAAAATACTGCCCCCACGGAAAGGACGGGGACTGAAATTGGAAGCTATAGTTCAGAAGATCACATCCCCAAACATCAGGAGGAGTGCCTCCTCGAACAGCGCAGAGGCTGGGGGAGACACGGTGACGCTCGACGACATCCTGTCTCTGAAGAGTGGGCCTCCCGAGGGCGGCAGCGCAGCCATTCAAGACGCTGAGACGGAGAAGAGAAAAGGCGAGGTGGTGTCTGACCTGGTGAGCCCAGCACGCCAGGAGCTGAGTGTGGAGAAGCCTCTCTCACGGTCTTCAGAAGACTGGCGTGGCAGTGGGGACGACAAAGTGAAGACAGAGACACGTCCAGAGACAGTTGCTGCTGGAAAGGAACCCCCTGGTGCCATGGCCTCTGTGACCTCACAGAAGCCTGGTAACCAAGGGAGACCAGATGGTCCGCTGGGTGGGACTGCACCTTTAATCTTCACTGACTCAAAGAATGTACCCCCAGTGGGCATATTGGCCCCCGAGACAAACCCCAAGGCTGAAGAGAAAGAGAATGATACAGTGACGATTTCGCCTAAACAGGAGAGTTTCCCTCCAAAGGGATATTTCCCATCCGGAAAGAAGAAGGGGAGACCCATTGGGAGCGTGAATAAGCAGAAGAAACAGCAGCAGCCCCCGCCTCCCCCACCTCAGCCCCCGCAGATACCAGAAGGTTCTGCAGATGGAGAACCAAAGCCAAAAAAGCAGAGGCAGCGGAGGGAGAGAAGGAAGCCTGGGGCCCAGCCAAGGAAGCGGAAAACCAAACAAGCAGTTCCCATCGTAGAACCTCAAGAACCTGAGATCAAACTGAAGTACGCCACCCAGCCGCTGGATAAAACTGACGCCAAGAACAAGTCTTTCTTCCCTTACATCCATGTAGTGAATAAGTGTGAACTCGGAGCTGTGTGTACAATCATCAATGCTGAAGAAGAAGAACAGACCAAATTGGTGAGGGGTCGCAAGGGCCAGAGGTCACTGACCCCTCCCCCCAGCAGCACTGAAAGCAAGGTGCTCCCAGCTTCGTCCTTTGTGCTGCAGGGCCCTGTGGTGACAGAGTCGTCTGTTATGGGACACCTGGTTTGCTGTCTTTGTGGCAAGTGGGCCAGTTACCGGAACATGGGCGACCTCTTTGGGCCCTTTTATCCGCAAGAGTACGCAGCCACTCTCCCGAAGAATCCGCCCCCTAAGAGGGCCGCGGAAATGCAGAGCAAAGTCAAGGTACGGCACAAAAGCGCTTCGAATGGCTCCAAGACGGACACTGAGGAGGAGGAGGAGCAGCAACAGCAGAAGGAGCAGAGGAGCCTGGCTGCGCACCCCAGGTTTAAGCGGCGCCACCGCTCGGAAGACTGTGGCGGAGGCCCTCGGGCCCTGTCCAGGGGGCTTCCTTGTAAAAAAGCCGCTGCGGAGGGCAGCAGCGAGAAGACTGCTTTGGACTCAAAGCCCCCCGTGCCCGCCACCTCAGAAGGGGGCCCTGAGCCGGAGCTACAGATCCCTGAACTACCTCTTGACAGCAATGAATTTTGGGTCCATGAGGGTTGTATTCTCTGGGCAAATGGTATCTACCTGGTCTGCGGCAGGCTCTACGGCCTGCAAGAAGCGCTGGAAATAGCCAGAGAGATGGTGAGTAGAAGTCCCTTGCCAGATTGGGAATTTTGTTACCTTGTTTTGTGTCTGTTTCTTGGACCTTGCTGTTTAATTCTAAAATATCTTCATGATTATTTCTCTAAATTTGAGCCCCCATCCCCAAATGATAGAAAATAATACCTTATTTGGAAGATTTTATTCCGCTGGTTTTCTTTTTCCCCTTTTTTTCTTTTCAGAGCTGTATTAATATTTGAAAGACAGAGTGACAGGGGTACACTTGGCTTCCATCTGCTGGCATATTCTCTAAATGCCTGCAACAGCTGCGGCTGGGCCAGGCTGAAGCCAGGAGCCTGGAACTCCATCCAGGTTTCCCACATAGGTAACAGGAACACAAGTGCTTGGGCCATTATCTGCTGCTTTCCCAGGGATATTAGCGGGAAGCTGGATCTGAAGTATGGAATAGCCAGGACTCCAACCAGATGTTCCAATGTGGGGTGTGGGTGTCCTGGGTGGTGGCTTACACTACTGCCTCTCAGTGCCCATACCAAATGTGTTTATCTTTACTGTCATCAATAATACGTGCCTATAGGTTTCAGAGTCATGTTAGTACTCCAACAGCTTGTGACAGACAATTCCTGCTTCCAAGGGGCATTCACTTTCTATAGCTTGAGCTTTCAAAGGTTACTTCCTCTCCCAGGTCCTTCTGTTTCTAAATAATAAGCTTTAACTGCTTTTTATGTTTTTTAAAATCATTTTTTAGCATCTATTAGGATACTCTTGAAGGTATACTGTGACTATATTTACTTCTAGAATATTTTATTTCTCTAGTACTGCTAGTTCATGTATTCATTTGTGGTTAATTTTCTTGGGTCATGTCTTTTTTTTTCTTTCTTTTTTTTTAAAGATTTCTTTTTTTTATTTATTTGGAAGAGTTACAGAGAGAGGTACAGCCAGAGTGAAAGGTAGTCCATCAGCTGATTGACTCCCCAAATGACTAAAACAACCAGAGCTGAGTTGATCCAAAGCCAGGAGCCAGGAGTTTCTTCCAGGTCTCCCACACGGGTACAAGGGCACAAGGACTTGGGCCATCTTCTGTTTTCCCAGGCCATAGCAGAGAGCTGGATCAGAAGTGGAATAGCTGGGACTCAAACCATTGCCCATATGGGATGCCAGCACCCGCGCTGCAGGCTGGGGCTTTAATCCACTGCGCCATAGTGCCACCCCCTCCTTTAAAGACTTATTTATTTATTTATTTATTTGAGAGACAGAATTACAGAGAGAGAGGAAGGCAGAGAGCGAGGTCTTCCATCTGCTTATTCACTCCCCAAATGGTTGCAACAGCTGGAGTTAGGCCAATCTGAAGTCAGTAGGCAGGAGCTGCTTTGGCTCTCCCATGTGGGTGCAGGGGCCCAAGCACTTGGGCCATCTTCCACTGCTTTTCCAGGTCATCTGCAGGGAGCTGGATAGGAAGTGAAGCAGTCCGGACTCAAACCATTGCCCATATGGGATGCCAGCACTGCAGGTAAAGGCTTACTTAACCTATTACGCCATAGTGCTGGCCCCCCGGACTATGTCTGTCTGGGTTTTTTTGTTTGTTTGAAAGGCAGAGTTATACAGAGGCAGAGAGAGAGAGAGAGAGGGAGGGAGGGGGGAAGGAAGGGAGAGAGAGAGAGAGGAAGGAGGGGAGAAAGAGAGAGAGAGAGAGACATCTTCCATCTGCTAATTCACTCTCCAAATGGCTGCAATGACCAGAGATGGGCCAGTCCGAAGCCAGGAGCCAGGAGCTTCTTCCAGGTCTCCCACACAGGTGGAGAGGCCCAAGGACTTGGGTCATCTTCAGGGAGTTGGATCAGAAGTGGAGCAGCTAGGACTTGAACCAGCAGCCACATGGGGAACCGGCACCTCAGGCAGCAACTTTACCCACTACACTGCAGCGCCAGCCACCCGAAGGCCATTTCTTTCTAATTGAGATATGTGTTTTTAGGTCTGTTTCTTTCTTTCCTTTTTTTTTTTTTTTTTTTTTTTTTAAGATTCATTTATCTGAAAGTTGGAGCTACAGAGACAGATCTTCCATCCACTGATTCACTTCCCAGATGGCTGCAATGGACAGGGCTGTGCCAGGCTGAAGCCAGGAGCTTCTTCCAGGTCTCTCACGGAGGTGGGCAGGGACCCCAGCACTTGGGCCATCTTCTGCTGCTCTTCCTAAGCCATTAGCAGAAACTTGGATTAGAAGTGGAGTAGCCAGGACACAAACTGGTACCCATAAGGGATGCTGGCATTGCAAAGGCCAGCTGTTCCCTCAGTGCCACAGCACCAGCCCCATACGTCTGTCTTTCTCGTCCCAGGGGAGTTCCTTGTCCTTACTTACTCCTCTGTTGAATGCTCTGTTCATGATTCCCATGTCTTCCTGTGTCTTCATTCTAAGAGAGTGCATCATCCTTCTTTAATTCTCCCACTTGGGGAGTAAAGATGGTGAGATCTCACCCGCATGCACCTGTCCTTATGCCTCCCTCATGCTTTTTCTTTTTTCCTCCCAATTTGATTGACAGAGAGCTTCCATCCACTGATTCACGTCTGGGCCCAGTTGAAGCCAGGAGCCTGGAACTCAGTCTAGGTCTAAATAATCAGAGCCTGGTTTACAGCTGCAATAGCTCCTCTTCTTTTCTGAGTATGTATTTATTTGAAAGTTGAGTATGGGGGAGATATTACCTTCTACCCTCTGGTGCACTCCCTAAATGTCTGAAGCCAGGATTCAGGACTCCATCATGATCTTCCATGTTGGTGGCAGGGCCCCAAGTACTTGGGCCATCCTCTGCTGCCTTCACAGGCACGTTAGCAGGAAACTGGATTGGAAACAGAGCAGCCAGGACTTCAGCTGGCACTCTGGTGTGAGATGCTGGCGGAGCAAGGGGCAGCTTAAACTGTATACCACAACACTCGCCCCACCTCTCCTTTTTTCTTTTTTAGAGATTTTATTTATTTGAAAGGCAGAGAAAGGAGAGGGGTCTCCCGTCCTCTGGTTCGCTCCCCAGTGACCACAACAGCCTTGGCTGGGCCAGGGTGAAGCCAAGAGCCTATAGCTTCGTCTGGTCCCCTTTGTGGGTGCAGGGGCCATAGGACTTGAGCCAACGTCCACTGCCTTCTCAGGAGCACCAGCAGGGACCCAGGTTGGAAGTAGAGCATCCAGGACTTGAACGAGTGCCCACATGGGATGCCAGTATTACAAGCAGCAGCTTTACCCACTATGCCGGCCCCTCTGAGCATATGCTTCTTCTAGTTAGAGAATCTTCAAATGCCTGGTTATCCTTGGCCATCTGTTTATAGTTTTAGGAAAGGTAGTCTTTTTTTTTTTTTTTTTTTTTTTTTTTTGACAGAGTGGACAGTGAGAGAGAGACAGAGACAAAGGTCTTCCTTTGCCGTTGGTTCACCCTCCAATGGCCGCCACTGCTGGCGCGCTGTGGCCGGTGCATCGCGCTGATCCGATGGCAGGAGCCAGGAGCTTCTCCTGGTCTCCCGTGGGGTGCAGGGCCCAAGCACTTGGGCCATCCTCCACTGCACTCCCTGGCCACAGCAGAGAGCTGGCCTGGAAGAGGGGCAACCGGGACAGAATCCGGCGCCCCAACCGGGACTAGAACCCAGTGTGCCGGTGCCGCAGGCAGAGGATTAGCCTAGTGAGCCACGGCGCCAGCAGAAAGGTAGTCTTTTAAAAGCATGGTTTGAAACCTTGTATTACAGTGTGGTGAAGTTGTGTGCCAGTCAACACCTTTAGGTCTTTAAATTGTCGTAAGTTTTCCCAGATGAAAATCTTAAGGTTTCTTATGTAGAAATATAAGCTTGGGTGCCATCATCTACAAAGCCAAGTGCAGAAAGGATAGAGGTGGGGGACGGGATGCAGTCTCATCATTTAAGGTGTAGACTTTGACTTTTTCCTGCCTGTTCTTAGTAAGCCACACCCTTCTGAGGGACCAAGGTTACCTGGCTAAATTGCATTGAGCCAGGACTGTAAATCCTTTTAGAAACTTCCAACTCCGTCTCTGAGGTGTCTGTGCCACTAGGGGGCTTGCTTTCCAGCGGCTCCTTAGCGACGGTCTTCACTTGCTGCTGCCTTTCATTCTGCTGAGTCATTCATTTTCTACCCATTCTGGCTCCAGCTCCTCTTCCGTTCTGCGTGTCCTCATGGGCTTGTCTTGAGCAGGCTTATTGCACCCCCACCTCTTTTTCGTGGGATGTGAACAAATAGTATAAATGCATATTCAGTCGACCAAAATTAGAGGAGAATATTTGCATTAATTTATATGTAAAGCTTGTTATACTTGATGTATTTAAATGACCTTCAATTATAGTTAAGGATTATATTAGACAGGATCATAGTATTCTTGGACAGTTAATAGTAGCCTCTCCTTCCTACATCTCCCTCCAAAACACTATCATTGCATTAGCACTAGAATTTACAACCATGTCTGGTAAAAAGGGAGAACTTGTATATTTGGGGCGGGTGTTTGGCCTAGTAGTTAAGGTGCTAGTTTTATGTCCATGTTCCACGTGGGAGTACCTGGATTTGGTTCCCAGTTCTGGCTTTGCACACCCTGGAGAGAGTGGTGATGGCTCAAGTCACTAGGTTTCTGCCACCTATAGATCTGAATTGAGTTCCTTAGTCCCCACTTTGGCCCCTTAACTGTGTGGGCATTTGGAAAGTGAACCAGCAGATGGGAACTTTGTCTTCTTGCTTCTCAAATAAATAAATAAAATTTTAAAGTGCATATTAATGTGCTATACATATATATGTATGTATTTGAAATTAGAACACCCTTTTGAAAAAAGAGATTATTTATTTGAAAGGCAGAGTGACGGGGAGAGAGAGATCTTCCATTCTCTGGTTTAACAGTATTTTTAAATGTAAGGTCCTAAAAGAAGTCAATATTTGAGATTCTAAAGTATAAAATCCTTTAAGTAATTACATTTGAGCACTCATAACAATCCATTCATCGTCATCTTGCCCAGGTTGATGGCTGGCTTGTGAGCTTTTCTCTGAAAGT